TTTTGTTAAAATTGATGTTATTGATGTTGTTGAAATTGATGTTGTTGATGTTGATGTTGTTGATGTTGTTGTTGAAATTGATGGTGTTGTGGTTGTTGATGTTATTGTTGATGTTATTATTGATGATGACGTTGTTGTGTTGTTGTTGATGTTGTTGATAATGATGTTGTTGTGCTCTTGTTGATGCTGTTGAAATTGCTGTTGTTGATGTTGTTGTTGATATTGTTATTGATGTTGTTGAAATTGATGTTGTTGATGAAATTGATGTTGTTTTTGGATGTTTTTTGTGTCCGCTTATTTTCCACGTTGTGTTTTCATTTTTTACGGCGCGTGCTTTATAAGAAACTGAAACAGTTTTAAACCAGTTGAACGGCAAGAAACCAGCTCCACGTTTGTGTGTGTGTGTAAGAATGTGTGTTTATCTCTGTGTGTGTGTGTGTGTGTGTGTATGTGTGTGTATGTATTTGTGTGTTGTGCATGAGCCATATATTTTTGTCTTAACAAACAATCAAATAATTAATATTTCTCTCAAATAATTGGAAATATTTTTCGAAAAGAAAATCATTAAAATTTGAAAAAAATTTTCTAATCATGATGAAATATTTCCGAAAAAAAATGTATGTTTGGATGTTTGTTTGTTTGTTTGTATGTATTTATAATTATATGTATGTACTATTTGCATATGTATGTACAAACATATTTACACAGACATACAAATATATTAAATAAAGCCTGTCTTACTGTTTGTCCATTCTTCTGAATGTTTGAGTGTTGTACGTCAACTCTTACGCTTGCATCTTTATGTCTGCTTCATCACATTTATTAATCAACGCGTATGGATTAGGACAATCATTGTACGTATGTTTGATTGTTTGTGTGTTTATCTGTCTTTCTGTCTCTCTGTCTGTTTGTTTATGTGCTTATTCGTTTGTATGATTGTTTGTATGTATGATTGTTTGTATGTATGATTGTTTGGATGCATGTTTGTTTGTGTTCGTTTGTATGCATGTTTGCATGATTTTTAATTTGCAATATTTTCACTGTCGACATGTTCATTATTTTATATTTTGCAGACATCACAATAATTTTGAGGAGTCTTCGTTTTTTTCGTCACATTCTTATTCCATCCAACAGTATTTCCTTTTTTGTATTTTTTTTGTATTTTTTTTTGTATTTTTTTGTATTTTTTCAACTTTCTGTTTCTTAGTTTTTATCTCCCATACTTTTTTCTTCACACGTTATTGGCCATGGAAGAAATATGTGGCCACCAAACAATTACGTACTCATTAGAGCATGTGAAGTGATTTGCTGGCCTTTTGGCTGGTTGGTTGATTGGTTGGATGGCTAGTTGGTTGGTTGGTTGGGTGGTTGATTGGTTGGATGGTTGGTTGGATGGATGGTTGGTTGATTGGTTGGATTGCTAGTTGGTTGGTTGGTAGGGTGGTTGATTGGTTGGATGGTTGGTTGGATGGATGGTTGGTTGATTGGTTGGATGGTTAGTTGGTTGATTGGTTGGATGGATGGTTGGTTGGATAGATGGTTGGTTGGATGGTTGGTTGATTGGCTGGTTGGTTGATTGGTTGGATGGTTGGTTGGATGGTTGAATGGTTGGTTGGTTGATTGATTGGATGGATGGTTGGTTGATTGGTTAGCTATTTGGTTGGTTAATAAATTAAATTAAATTGATTAATTCATTGATTGATGGTTTGATTGGCTATTGATAGCCCGGTTTGTTAGTTAGCTTGTTATTTAAT